TGCTCTATGCTACAAATAGACAAATAAATAAATAATTGAACAGACCACAAATAAGGGCTCCTTATTAAGTCAGCAGGTTATGCAAGCTTCATTCTATTCGTCATTTTTTATGGGGAAGTTTACCTCAAGAAAATTTTTTCAGGTTACTGCAAATGAAGATTTGGTTTTTTTCTCCAAAGTGTTCGTTTGCTTGAAGGATTTTACACATATCTCATATAAGAGTGTTGCTTCTGAAGGTGTATCGTCTCCATAAATCAGATTAATCTGCTTATTTATTATTTGATCTTCAATTTATTGCTGATAATGAGTTACGTAAAGAAGTCCTTAAAAGAGTCGGTATTGTTTTCATACTCCGTCTATCGAAAGAATTATAACGGAAGAAAGATGTAATACAATTTTTAGTAATTTCATTTCATCTTCAATAATTTTTCTCTAACTTAGGGTGAATTTTCTTTTCTTTCTATAGCACATAGTATCCTTCGATTATTCATGTTTGGCGTATTGCCAAGCTTGTGCTGTTCTCGACAACATTCATACATTTCTAAGGCAAACGGGGTTTGTTCACTCATTCAGCATGGATTGGCCCAATGCCAATGTATCAGAAATATACTGCAAGAAGTGGAACATGGCTCAAACCATTCTACTCGCTCTCAAAAAATGTGTTTTTTTTAGAACTTTTACGGGGACATTTCGAACTTTTATTTGCAGTTGTTTCTCTCGTTTTCCCTTTTTTTCTGCTACTCTTTCTTATTTTCTTGTCGTCCTTGAGTTTACTCGTCCTCAATAACTCACCACCTCGAACAAAGTGTTCCTATTCCCCTCACCCTCTCCATTAACCCTTACCCCTCTTCCATTTTGCCGTATGTTTGCTTGTGCCATACGCAAAAGCAACAGCCGACAGAAGTCAAATTATTGTCAATAATCTGGCGGGTGGCTGTGTTTGCTGAAGTCATCGATGTGCACTTCCATTTCTAGGGCACTGACACACGACTCCCCCACTTCAAGTTCATAAAAAGAACTTTCAAGAAAGACGGGATCGATAGCGCAGCTTTTGACGTTTTGCTGCTCATAAAATGCCGGTTATTAAACGGCTGAAGAAGTGGTTTGTGCGAACCATTATAGGCTTGGAGAGGAGTTTTTATAGGGTTGTTGAAGGTCAGGGTAATTGAAGCCCGAGTGCGGGGGAGCGGGGGGGGGGGAAGGGGAGAGGAAGAAAAATCGTTACCGTATTCAAATGTGGGAGAGGTGTGACAGCCTGTTGAATTTTTCAAAGAATTATGATAATTATTGAGTGAGTTCTATTCTTATGCTCTTATTTTTTATCTCATTAAAGTTATCTTTTAGTTTTATTTTTCAATCTTTTTTTATCCAGTTAATAATTCCCCCTCTCAAACTTCCTTTATATTGGCCAAATGCACAGATCTTGATATTACTTGGTAATTTATTGATTTTTTCAATACTCCTCAGATTTTCTGTCAAGTTTTTACTGTTTGTATGGGTCAAAGAGTAATGCAGTCAGTGCGAGGAAAAGGGGGACGGGGCCTGGGGGAAGGGGAGGGCAAGGGGAGTTGGGAGAGAAGAAGAAGAGTTACCGTATATCAGTAGGAAAGTTAACGTGACCATCCTTTCCCTTTCCATTTCTCAGGAAATTTCCATTACTCACAAAGTAAATTCTTCTTAGACATTCAGTCAATATTTTCTCTTCTCAAGTTTGCGTTTGTATTGACATATAACACACATTAACATACAATATACTGAATTATTGATTCTTCCCCTTTGCTTAGAATCTCCGTAAAATTGCGGATGTAGGAAATGTTACCGTACTTGTCACCGTAGGATTTGAAATGGTTGCGTTCTAAGGAAATTTTGATTACTCATAATGTAAATTCTATCTTTGAAGAGATCAATCAATATTTTCCCTTTTCAAGCTTCCATTTATAATGACATAATGCAAATAATCCTACATAACTTGCTGATTTATGGATTTTCTCCCTCCTCAGATTTTCTAGTGAGTTTTTACAATATGTGTGGTCAAAGGATAGTTGAAATCTGAGTGGACGGGGGAAGGGGGGGGGGGAGGGGGAACCAGAAGGAGAGTTATCGTATCTATCATAGGAGAAGTGGTTGGCCTGTTCACTTAGACAATTTTGATTAAGTATATTTTTTTCCTTTCAAGGACAATCGATCAATATCTTCCATAATTCCCAAACTTCCATTTATATTAGCATTATGCAAACATTTACATATAGTACGCTAGATTATCGATTTCCTCCTTATTCTCAGAAATTTTGACTTTTTATTTTTACCAGTGCAATCTTCCTTTCTTATTATTTTCACAAAATGTTTTTTGAAGAATGTCGAGCATGACTGCAGCCTATGTTTACTTTTATCCTGAATCCCCTTCTATTTGTTTATTCTCGGTGCTTTTGCTGACAGATAAGACAGAACTCAAACAGATTCCATCCAATAGTCTTCATATACTTACACCATCATTTATAGCTAGCTCTTCCGCTTTATTTCTTGGCTAATTAAACGCTACTCGTAATCTGAGAAATTTTCGAAATCCGGAAATGATTCATGATTGCTCACTTTTTATTATAGTTCCACTACAATGCCGTTTCCAAACGAGTATAACTACCATACAAGTGTCTTCAAGGTCATGTATATACAACTGAATTTTTTCTGTTGATATTTAGTTTCGTTTACCACGTAGAATTGCTTGCATATCCAAAAACAACTCAGACAATTCGCCGGAACTTCCGCAGGACAAGCAAAATTTGCTGCGGTTCCTCAGGATTTTGTTTACTATTGCAAAAGTGGAAACGTTGAAAATGGGAACTTCCGCAGGATTTTCACGTTAGACTGCTTGAAAACGGGAACTTCTGCGACCCGGCGAACTTTCCCAAATGTTCTGCGGAAGTTTCGGTCAGTTGTCTGAAAATGCTCGTATTAGACATGCTACTAGTAGCAGTCTATATCGCTCAGAACTGCTGTAGAAGGGAGTTGGAAAGATTTTCAAAATTATGGCAATGAGATCATTTTTATCATATCGAATCAAATCATGCTTTACTTCTCTCTATCGTCTAAAAAGTTTACTACTTCATTAAGAATATCTGCTGTCAAAGATTGTACATAGCTCTCTCAGTCTTCCAAGAAAAAGAGTTGTAAAATTTATAGATTCATCCTGAGGACGCAGCTGGGTAAGAGCTCAAGTACATAAGTAACTGAGAAAAATCTTATATGGTCAACGCTTGATTCATAACTGCTCACTCACCCAGTTAGAAGTAAAAAAAGCCCCACCTTTTATGTGTAGTTTGAAAACTGAAATCCGATTTTATGAGACTTCGTCCGACATTCAATTTCAATATATTATCTGCTTATTCATCCAGCTATTCTTCGGTTTAATTTTCATTACACCAGTAGTTCTGCTAGAAGGGTTTACGAACTGCTTTGATAAAGTAAGTACAAATTATCTTATGAAATTCTTAAGCTCCGTAGTTTATTTCGCCCAAAAGCGCAAGTACGTTGAACTCAGACTAATATCTATACGAGCGATGACAGGCTAGTTTCACTCTTTTTCCGAGCTTATTTTTTTCTATTCTGATGTAAAAAGTGGTGATGTGGATCAGTTGAAAATTATGGTAAAGCGATATCGAACGAGATGTTAACATCACATGAGTTTATATAGAAATGCTAATTACTTCAGAAGGCAGAAAAAAGCAAACACTTTTTGTCCATATGCTTTTCTTTATTTCACATCATTTGTGGATTCAGCTTTCATGAACTCTAGCAAAGGAAATGCGAGTGGCTGGTACTAGCTGTTTTCAAAAGCTGCAAAAATATTTATATCTGCTTTCAAAGCTAGTCACTTTTAACTTATTCATCAGAATCAGACCCACATACTATGTATGTGGATTTTTATTAAGTTCTAGCTTTTCTTACCGCTCACATTTACTCATCCTTTCAATCTGATTTTCGCTTAAATTACTCTTGCAAATTGCAAGAAAATCTCATGCGTTTTTTACTGTCGCTCCCTTTTGTAGGAAAAATCAATGTGAATTTCCGAACAAATCAGATTGGGAGAGGGAGGACAATAGATGGACATATAGGGCTCGACACGAGGTGGCTTTCCGAAAATGCAGAGAAACGAAGACCCTCTGTGTTTCGCAAAATTCACGAAGTCTTCTTTGATCCTTATTCGAATTATCCAAATCGACTAGAAAACCAAAACGTCGATTGAAAAAAATTTAAACTCATTTGTGCTTTTCGACCCACAAAAACGATACTCCCTTTGCTTTTTGTCCCAATAACGATATTCAGCTTGCTTAACCCATTGACGACGACGCCTAATTTTGCATGGTGGTGCTTTGAGACGACGCGATTTTGCACAACACTATTGGCGTGGGGGAGTTTTCTGATCATTTACGAAATGTAAAGTTATTTTGTAAACAACTACAGTCATCTTCTAGGACGAAGAAGTCTACAGGTTCCAAGAGTGAAAAATTGGAAAAAAAACACTGAAATGTGGGAATACTACATTTGGAAAGGATATGATTTTGCAAAGGGTGTGAGCCACCGGTGGTCCATAATGTCGTCAAGGGTTAAAAGCCACCTGTGCCGAGCCCTGAGGATATGGCAAGCGAAGATAGTCTGTGATTTTGAGTACTTGTGATAGACGGTAGAACTAAATAGGGTAACCAAAAATGTTTATCCGTCGTGACTTTCGAGTGAGAATACGAGTACAAGATAATTGCTTTTGCAAAATGCAACGTGCAGTTTCGTCATGGGCACTTGAACAACAATTCTGCAATATGTAACAACAATGCTTATACTTTTCAATAGTGTTTTTGCGAAATGCATTGGAAGTACTCCAAATGTACATATTGCGCATTGAAATCCCACGCAATGCGGCATCAATTTCCCGTATTTGCCGAATGATTCGTCCCATAGCGAAGAGCTCATAAAGTTTCTCTCACAGCCATTGAGGCAGTAGCTCAACGATGGTTCGTCTTGCTAGGTCTAAAAGCACACAGTCTGTTAAATCCATTGCATTGTGAGTTTAATTTTTACTGATTTCTAATAATTTGTGAGCAGAATTCGGAAACTCTTCTTCGCCTAGATTTCTTTGAATGAATAAATTTTTTTAGAATAAAAAATTTGTAAGAAATCTGACATTTATTCTGAGACTTCCGCTATCTTTAAATGATAATAATCATAATTAGCTAAATAATAAATAAATATGTGATTTTGATTTTTTGTAAATATTGAATTATTGAATTACAAGATCAAAATCCAAAGTCAACTAATGCCGAGGTTCACAGAAGAAACCACATGAAAAAAATAAGTAATTCAATAAATAATAAAAATAAATAAATAAATAATTCAATAAATATTGAATAATTTCCTTGATAAATAATTACCCATCCTCATATAAATATTTTGCAAACGTGGCTTCAAAAAAAGCTTCATCAAGTGAACAGGTTAAGCAAAAATAAAATTTTCCCACTTTATTATTATTATTTGGTTTTCCAAATATCAAATCGATATTTTTCATTTACAAAATTGATCGACAAATTCCGAGCTCAGAGTAGCTTTCCTTTCGAGTTCATAAAAATAAAATAGTTTTATTCTCAAAAATATCAATTTATTTAATTATATAATATAAATTTATATGATCAATACAAGTTTTGTTCCCCTCACTTTTGCATCATCTTTCTTGATTTTTGATGATTTTCTCTGAAATACTCGTTTTGTTCGTAATTTCTCGTCTCTTCCTTCAAAATCCTAAATTCTCCCGTTTCAGGAGTGTGAAGCTACCAAACCACCTCCAAAGCATGACCGAGAAAACTTATGTGAGTTTGTTTACCTCATTTATTAGCGGCAGCTTTCACCAGCGTCTCCTCGATCATTTCATCAAAGTGATTGATGAGCCGCTGATCATCCTAACGACATGTGAGCACAATAAAAACATGGTGTGAAGCGGAAAATAATTAGTTTGTCAATAATCATCCATTATTTTCTTCAGAAATCACGTCCAAATTTCTATCAAAATTTGTTTTTAAAACCAGTGCACGTGGAAACCATGGTTTTTTTTCACTCGCTTTGTCTACTTATTATTCATTCGGGCGAAGACAGCGTTCCTTTCCAAGTATTCCCTGGATCTTCTGGCATCTTTAATGACAAGCACGACTCTGGTCGCAACATAATTTATTCTACTTCATTGTTATGCCACTGGCAGTTCCACCCCTTTAGATACGAAGACATACATGGGAAGGAAGTGGTCAAATTTGAGGGTATGTGTAGGGCTAAATAATGTGTGAAATTATGGCCGAGTAGGGGCGGGGGGTCTCTTTCAGCTGAAAGCTCAATGTGGAAGCGAAAAATGCGCCTAAGGCCTCGGGCATACCTCACGCGATTTCAGTCGCGACGCGATTTGGCAATACTCCAAATGTTCATAACTCATCGTACGAAGTTTCTGAATGTACGGAAGATGGGGCATTTTATCAGCCTACGCAAGTTATACATGCTGTGCATTTGGGGTCTACCAGTATTGAATTTGAAGACATCTGGCAAATTGCCAGTTCGCGTGGCGACTGAAATCGCGCGAAGTATGTCCCTTGCCTAAGAAAATATATTGATTAGATAAATTGGCTCAAAACTTTATTTGAGCATTTTTGCCGAGGAGAACCACAAAATCTTTCCAGGAAAAATTAATACTCTGCGCACAAATTTTTATCATTCACCGTTCTAATCCATCACTTCTAAATGCACGAAAGCCATATAAAAACCTACGATTGACGTCAAATCAAAGAGAATTGCCTATGGTTTAGCTGACTGTTGAGTGTTCAATAGGCATTGGAAAAAAACGATGAGTAACTGCTCTGACTCGGCCATTTATTATGCCATTGGCAAGTTTTTGCAAAGGCAGTTTTCTACAGGCCAGATCGCTTAGCTCAACTTTGATTTTTGGAATAAGATGAGTAAAAAAGATATGTACAGGAAGTGTAACACTGCAGACGTAAATTTCTGTTTATGTTGGTGGAAAAGTTCTTGTAAGAAAACAATATTTTCACATTGAGATAACTTCAAACAGAAATTTACCGGACATTCATTGGTTTGTAGGAATTACATTGATGTTTTAGAGTGCGGTATGTGAAAACGAACAAGAATTTCGTACTTAGAACTGCGGAAATCGAACGAAATCCAATAACTGGCCATGGATTTGAGACAACATAGAATCTCTAAACGAAAAAATATGCATAAATTGAAAATCAGAGAAGCTAGTAAAAGGGGAGCTAATTTTATAAGCAAGAAAGTCCGCTTGCGAAAAGAAAATTGCACGAAAAGAGAAACTGGCAATGTTGCTAAAGTAGCTGATCCCCATCCACTCCCCTTTCTCGGACTAAAAAGGAAAGAACCAGGAGAAAAAGGTTTACTGGTTTTCTTTTTGACATTGTTTTGATGAGGGAGAATCATTTTCAGTAATGTGAAAATCTTCCACTTCTGCGCAATCACATAAGCTGCACAATCTCCTGCGCAAAGCGCATAACCTCAAATTTGCCACTGCATTAGGGCGCTAGATATGGAAGTTCGGGCTCGAATTTCCGCGGCAATTTTCGACGGACAGCGCGCAACGATTTAGGCATCATGTTGCCGTGTATGGTGGTCGTTTCCGCTTCGACGTCGATCAACGCGCGGAATCTCCACTGCTATGCAAGAAGTGGATGTTCGCGTTGCTTCTGCTGTCGGGGCTAAATCGGAGATTCGGCACTTCGGCAGTCGGGGAGCTCACGACCCGTCGGCATTATCCATTTAAATCGCAGGAGAGAGCCGCACGAGGGAATATAAGTCCTCAGTTTTCCCCCCTCTCCCCTCGAACGACCCGCCCACCGCCGCCGCCACCACCACCACCGCGGCCGAAGCGGCGCCTTCGAGCTCGGCTGTCTCTCTGTGTGCGGTGTGTCCGATGTGTCGCACGCCTCCATGAAGAAATCCTCCTCTACATCGAATTTTCAGCTATTCTGATCTACTCTGATCTAATTTTTCTGATCTTCTAACCCTCGTCATCCCCCCAACAATCGCCGTCGCAGTGCGATATTGTTGGATGTGTGTCAGTGACAGCCAGTCGTGCTGGCGAGCTGCTTGACGTGCATCAGGTGTTTCTAACGCTGCTTTGACACAGCAATCAACCACAGTTTGAGTCGTCCCCAGTGGAAAAAACTCCCCCATTCCCCCTCCCACTGTTTTTGCGCGCGTCATCATTTCTTCAAAACCCCCGAACAACTCGCTGTTCTCCACTGGCACCGAAGCCACCGCCGAAGAAATCCACCGTTGTGGAAGTCTTGGACGTTTCCAGCCGTATGCCAACTCTATGGCACTTCGCTAAGTACATTGTAAATTTTCCAAAGCAATTTTAATTTTTTTGAATGGTTTCATGCACTTGGAGATAATTGGATTATCGTACTTTTTGAATTCAAATGCGTCAAATTCTATATACTCTGGAAGAGTTCTTTCGTTTCTTTTATCGCATTATGAAACTTGAGAAGGTAGAGAGGGAGTTTCCTCAAGTCTCTGCTATTCTGATTTTTGGCCTAATAATTTAGTCTTTGAAATAGGTAAAGCTTTCTTAACTTTTTTCCTACAATAATTTAATCTTGATATTATTTACCTTTGCTTTTCTTACACATAAAAAGACATCTAAAATTCTCATTCAAAGAACTACGATATTTGCAAGTATGAAATTTGAGCAAAGCATTGATATTGAAAAAATTATTTCAAGACCCAATATCTTGCGAATAGTATTGAGTTTAGGGAATTAATATTGAGACAAAAATTCTTATTTCAATCTGTGTTGTGTATTCCTCAAAATGTATCTAGAGTCTTTTCTGAAACCTAATCAAGTTGATAAATCTTACCAAGATTCATTTTTTAGTCAGAAACCATATGGTATCCTGTCATTTCTGAGCTGTCAAAACTACAAATTTAATTTTTGTTAATTTTTGTCTATCAGCCATGCACAAATTTCCTTGGTTCTCGAAAAATAAATTTTTATTTAGAATACTGTTGTTTTGTCTCTCGAGCTCGTAATATCGATATTCTTGGCAAAACTTTTGACCTCTACTTAGCTACTCATTTTTGTTTTTTTACAGCCAATTTCAATTGAATTTTTCTCGAATCACAAGTAAAAATCTTTCTTTGTTTGAGACGGTGTAAGATTTTTGGTACGAGAAATCTAAGACGTGAACATTTTTTTTCATATGATCTTACGATCACGTCGTTTACCTCGTTTTACGGTTTTTAGAGCGAAGGAATGAAAACAGGGCTTGGCACGAGGTGGCTTTCCGAAAATGCAATAAACCCTGTCCCCTTGACTTTCCCAAGATTTTACGAATTCCTCTTTGACCCTAAACCATGAACGTAAAATAACCCTCAAAAAACGCGGTAAAAAATAACATAACCTAAGTTGTATTTTCTTGGCCATAAAAACAATACCACCTTTGCTTTTTCTCCCGGAAACGATATACGATATCGGCTTGCTTAAAAGTCACCTGTGCCCAGCCCTGAGTCGAAATCCTGAATTCTCAAAAATGCATGTATCCGCTTTCAAATAATCAATCAACATAGCGAAAACAATTTTTTATATCAGCAACATATGACTGCCACCATCTATCTCAAGCCAGATTTTCCGATAAATCTGCCAGCCCTGACAGATTCAAAGGATAAAAAGATTTCATGGGGCATTTACATCAAGATTAGATTTCGCTTTGCAGAATATCCCATACCGCAGCAAATTGACGGAAAAGATCGAACCTGGTCAAACGCTAATTATACGCGGTAGAACTCCTGAAGAAGCGAAGAGGTGGGTCTCATCTTGAAAATGATTTTTTCGAGATGAAAAATCCTTTTTCAGGTTCAATATCAATCTACACAAGGACAGTCCAGACTTTAGCGGTAATGACGTTCCACTTCACGTCAGCGTTCGATTCGATGAGGGAAAAGTAAGTGCTTGGCGTCTTGCCAAAGCCCGTTTTCAAGCATTTTTCATCACTCGAAAACATTTTGCTGTTTGCTCTCATAAATTATGTTCTTAAAGGGGTGGGAAGGCAAAAGAGGGGCAGCCGCAGTTTCAAATATTTTCTTTGAGGGGGGGGGGGAAGATGATGTGGCAATAGCCACCTACAAAGATTTTTTTTTGCAAAGCTAAGCGAAAATTTTTGGTTTTTCTCAAAAATTATTTTGTCTATTTACATAAACTTCCATTTTTCGTCACTCCATATGTTTGCTATTCGCTCCCAACAATTATTTCGATAGGGTAACCAAAAATAGAGCAACGGGCATGTCGAGCACAAAAATTTGTCGAAACGGGGGGGGGGGGGAAAGGGGTAGACAAAAAGCTGTGAATCTGCAAAAAGAAATCTTTATAAAAATTAAATTTCCAACATTCTAGAAATTTCTTCAATTACCTAAAAGTGAAAGCAAGTTACTCGCGTATTCTTACAACTCATTTGATATAAAAAATTTCTTTAAAATCTCAAAAACTGTTTCGTGGGCGGGGGGGGGGGGAACTCATAGCCTTTTCGTAGTTGGATGATATCTTGTTAGTGGTGAAGGCACATTTTTGATCAAGTCTATTGAGTTGTGAATTTTATAATTTTTCCTCTAGTCATATTGTTTATAGATAGAATTTACAAATTTTTTCCTTTTGTTGAACCTGGATGAGAATTTCGTTAGATCATGCATACCCTTTGATTCAAGGGGCTTGGCGGCTGGAAGGCGGGCTTCTTGACCTGATTAAGGCTAGGTAATGATGAGAGAGTACACGCGCGGAAGAGGCGCAGACCGCGCAGCGAGCGCGAGCGGCCTTAATTAGGTGAGAATGCCCCTCCCTCCAGCCGCTAAGCCAGTTGAATCAAAGGTTATAATGCTTGATAAAAAAAGACTTCTACCAGCTCGTTTTACCATTCTGCTGGCTCAGAATGACGGGATGCGCCGGGGGGGGGGGGTTTGAAGTCTTATTGTTAGGAAACAATCCACTTGTTGACTGAAAACAACAATAACAATCCAAAAAACAATTCCGCTTTGCGAAACATCTCCGCTCACGCCATGAATCCGTCCTGTCCCCGGCCCCCCGGATCCTCTCATCTTCCCCTCTCCCACCCTCACTCGACAGCTGTTGTTTATGGGGTGTCGATGGGATTATGTGGCTTTGAGTCCTGTATGTGTGTGTATGTTGTGAGTGTTATGTGTTGTGTGCGCATGTGTGTTCGAATCAGCCTCTGAGTTGTCATGAATGGCCAAAATGGGGCAAAATAGTCGTCTAATGGCTGGGACAAGCAATTGCCCGGGGAATTGCTTGATATGAGCTTTTATTCAAGAGAAAACAACTAGATTCTGGCATTAGAAGGATTTAAGAGCCTTGAAAGAGGAAATGTAGTCGGAAATGAAGAAAATGGCTTCGGTGTCAAAGTCCAACAAGATATCCATAATTTATTGCCCTATAAATTTTTCCGTGTAGTGAATTGAAGATTAGATTCCTTCATTGTATTGAGAATAGAAAGTCGATTTCGCCAGTGAACTTATTGAATAGCTTATGCTTCAAAAATATTGTAATTTCTCATTAATCTGAATGATCTTGTGTATTTTGCAAAAAAAAATCCCTTAAATTTTCAAGAAATAGCTTTTGGGAACCAGCCAACAACGAAAGAATAAAAAAACAGCAAAATGTTTTAGAAATGCTTTACATAAAAAAAATTGGTTGACTCTCTATTTTAAGATAAAATCAACATTTTTGGAATCTCATAAAATTTGGACCCCTTTTATTTTTTTTGGAATAGAAGTTATAGGCTCGCTAAAAAACTAAAAGGCATCAAAAATGTTCCGAGAGTTTCAGGAATTTTAATCACAATTTTTATCATTTTTTCCGAAGAAGTTTTGAGATACTTTCCCTGTTTTAGAATTCCATTGAGTGATTATTAAATACAATTTGAAAATTTTCTTGAAATTAAGGAATTCAATTTTACATGTTTAACTGACAATTTTTATGGATAAATGACCTTATTCAGCAAAATCTTTTGTGGCAAAGTACAAATAGTTTTGATCACAATTATTTATATTTGTGGTTATTATGCGATCAATACTTTTTGAAAATATCTAATATACCCTTACTCTACATAAATTAGAATTTTCTAGATTAAATTTTCGAGCGCTTGATGCATGTACAAATCTCATTTCCTTGATGCATTTTCTGAGACATTTTTCATTTGTCATAAACTCAAGCCTATTCTTTCTGATTCCGCATAAATCTGCTAAAAACTTTTATAGCCTCTGTAAAACTGGACACGTGTGTTTGATAGCGACGATTACTCTTTTATGTTCTTTCTGCTCGAGCATTTGAGAGCGAAGGGAAAGAAAAGCACAATGCAAAGGAGGACTCGTGGCCTGCGGAATAGATATATTTGGCTTCGGGGCTCTCCGGCTTGCTCCAATCTCGCCGAGGGCTATCGAAAGTCACGCGTAGGCGAGCGATTTCAAGCAAAACGAGGCCCCTGTGATTTTTAGCCCGTTAGTGCTCGTGTCGTGCCCTTTAATGGCTACCTGTTGGGCTCCATGAACAGGCAATCAACGACTTTTTCAAACGGTAACGAGAATCGCGTGAGATCGTTGGGATCTAGTTATTAGGCAAGAGAGAAAAAGGTGACTCAGAAGCATGCCTCCATGGGGATTCCTTGTGCTCGACATTAGGAGAGTGGAGGTGAGAGAAAAGGAACCAAGCTCCTCCCAAACTTGGTTTTTGGGGCATAACTGAAACAGCGAATTTTTCTTTGGCTCTATAAGTATTATGACTCTCAAACACTGAACGGGCCGCCGGTGTACCGCTATTGACATTAGTTTTCTTTGTGAATTTTTTTGATGGAAAATCTCGTTGTTTAAATATGTTTTGTTTTGGCCCTTTAAGTTCCTGGAGCAGCAAATGAAGATAAACGAAACGCTAGCCGAATTTGAATGCTATAATGAAACAAAGTTAATTTCCGATAATAAAAAATGAATTAGATTAAAATGAAATGTATCATGTTATGTAGGCTAAATATTTTTACATAGTCCTTCCTATAAATTGAGAAACCAAATTTTGAACTAGAAATAGCTGCGCTTTATCACTTTTGATCAAAGGTTTGAATTTCCATATTTTTAAACCGAACCCTCTGAGTCCCAATCGATATATCGATTTTTTGAAGCCCCTGACTTGTGCAGTCGCCATTCTCGGTCGACTGCTTGAATTGGATTATATTTTCATAGATATCAGTACTCCGGCTACCCCTCATTCCTTCCCCTCCCCCCCCCCCTCCCCGATTGAATGGCGTTTCTTTGAAAACGGCCTAAATGAATATCTTGTTCATATTACTCATTCCGCGTAATGTTGTCGATGATTTTTTTGAAATCCGTGAAAAACAATCTAACTTTTGCATGAAAATGATATGTTGAGTTCAGAAAAGAATTTCTATTGCCCTCTCTCTCTCAAAAGAAAAATTCCTGGGATCATCTAATGAATATAGGTGCATTCTTCCAATTGTATATAATTATAATAAATCTCCAAAGTTTGCGAAAATTCAAATTTGTTTCTCAAAAATTGACGCAATGCTCCCACACCTAAAAAATTTCTGCCTCTATCTCGAAACAATTTCGGTGACCAACCATGAAGCATGTTTGTTTTTCTTATGGAATCGGACTCAGATTGTGCATTCCTTGCTTCTGTGAATTTCGGCTTGATCTCTGATCCTTGTGTTTGAAGTCAGCAAAAATGGATGTGCTATGCGTTCGATTCGTTCATAAATCATTTCCCTTTTCAGCTTGTCTTCAACTCGTACACAAAAGGTGCATGGGGTAAAGAAGAACGACAGAAGAATCCGGTAAAGAAAGGTGACGGATTCGACATTCGAATTCGAGCCCACGATAACAAATTCACCGTCGCCATCAATCGAGTGAGTTTTGGCCTTGCGGCCTTTATGCATCAATTCTGCCTCGGCTCTTTTGCTCGTGGCTGCTTGAGTGCACTCATGGGGGAAATCACCCGCCATTGTGCGCCCCGTTTTCTATTGTTTTTATCCGACGACTAAGTGATTGACATCCGATGAAATGATGTGGAGAGGTTTTTTGTGAACGAACAATGAACATGTTTGAGAAGAAAACTTTTTCGCTTCACTGCTTTTGCTGCAGTTACATCTCAAGAGCTGTCCCTGTGCTTAGAACTGACAAGGCATTATATTTGGTTTTGAAAGGGTGGAGAAAGCCCTATGAAAATTTTTGAAAGCAGCAAGAAAAGGGCGAAACAAATACCAGAGCTTGAGAGTTGGTTGGAATGCAGACTAACTTCAAGTTCTAATTCTGTGGCACAAAGGAAAATCAAATAAAACAAATTTTTTCATATACGTCTTCATAATCAATTTTTCCAAAAAAATATCATTTTTAAGGTAGAAAGTGTAAAAGCTCTATGAAATATCCGTTACGACAATTTTTCACTGACTTGCAAGAGAAATGGAAGAAACACAAGTTTCGATCAAAAAGAGATATGCGAAAGATTTGAAAGCGATTTGTTTGCTTTCTGAATCATTTTCACATGGACACTGTTCCAAGGATGTGTGTGGGCCTTTTGACTCATCGCAATAATTTTTCTGCTAAAATATCTTGTCAAGTTATGGGAATCGAATTATATTGCTTGAAGGGTCTATACGCGAATAGAAATACCATACAAACCGAAATCGTAAGCTGAAAAGTTGAAATTTTGATAAGTCATACGCTCATATTTAGATTCTTATATTTGGTTTTGCTTTGATTTAACGTATAGTTCTTAACCCGAGAAGCGATTTGAAAGAAAAGGTGCTTTTGAAGACAAGAATGTGTTTTTATCTTACATCCGTTTTTGTGAATCTAAGTTCATTCAATTTAGTTTGTGAATCATTTACTCTATATTGACGGCGATAAATCTGATTTTTTCGCCTATTCAGGCCCTTATGCAAATTCTTCTGCAAGAAGAAGAACGGAAATTACTGCAAGTACTTTTTCCACGTTATGCGCACTAGAGAAAGAAAATTTTGTGGTAATCCACGCATAACTCATTGCAATAAAATTGCCTTATCTTTTGAGACTAGTCAGTTATTTGGAATCTCTTTTTTTTTTCAAATTTTGCTCATGAATTTATGATAAGGGCCGGGCATACTTCACGCGATTTCAGTCGCGATGCAATTTGGCAATATTCCAACTGTCCATAACTCACTGTAAGCACATTTCACATGTACAGAAGATAGGGCATTTAATCAATCCACGTAAGTTATATACACAATGCATGTGCAGTTTGCTAGTGTTGGATCTGAAGACTTCTGGCGAATTGCCAAATCGCGTGGTGACTGAAATCGCGTGAAGTATGCCCGGCCTTATAGCTTTTATTCGTAATTTCTTCATTTGTTATCTAATCACTGCAGTCAATCTGTGCCAAAAAAATTGTCAAATCTTCAGAGTTGTGAATTTTCAGCTTTGGATGACAAGTTGCTCCTGATTCTGATCTATAGAAAAGTTTGAACAAAAACATTCGAAATTTAATCTGGGACAACGACCTGCTGCAGTATTATCTCAAAATTATTCTCTAATTTTGTTTGGTGCTCATCTGTAACTTCGTTTGCAGGAGAATTCAAAATGTCATATAGAATTATAATACAATTCAGCTAAGTTCAACTCAGCATTACTAAATGTTTTTGTGAACCCTGTGGTCTAATCTAACAAGCAATTTTGAAATTTTTACATGATAACCAAAATTCTTTTTGTGCTTTCTTTTATTCTTATTCTCTTTGGGCATGAAAAGTGCCTTTGCTTTTCCAGAAAGAGGTAAAATCATTCGATCATCGCATTCCACTCCAACACGTTACTCATCTGAGCATCGACGGAGATGTTGTACTAAACCATGTGCAGTGGGGTGGCAAATACTATGTGAGTTTTGAGCAATTCTTGACCTCCCCCCCCCCGTCACATTCACTTGACATATGTCATACATTTCAGCCAGTCCCATATGAATCCGGTATCGCTGACAATGGTCTCATTCCCGGCAAAACGCTGGTCATCTATGGAACTCCTGAAAAGAAAGCGAAGAAGTGAGTTGTGTGAGCTGTGACATCCGGGGAATCCCCGTGGATTTGACGGGGTGACACGTGACTGCTGAAAAATTGAACTGTTATGATACGCTGAGCGTCGGCAGATGACATGTCGCAGATGGATGATGCGCTTGGAGATTTCTTCAGTTTTGTTTTTGCAATGGATCTGCTGAAAAAGCCTTCTTCGAAATTTCCGCTAGTGTGAAAGTAAATGGTAATAGCTGTAGGCGAAAAAAGGGAAAGCGTTGAAAATTTCATAGCTTCAAGATCTAGAATCAGTATGGCTATAAGTTGTAGAGTTCTAGGAGGTCCGGGAAGACCTGTAACTAATTTTAGACTCCGTCTGACAATGAGAAACGTACCGGAGTGATGATGTTTAGTGTTCTCATTTTGAAAAATTCTTAGCTTATTCTATCCTATCTTGTTATTATCTGTTATCTTATTAAAAATCCTTAATAAAAAAAATATCTTTGCTTGTAGGTATGGTCACATTTAACGTTCTAATTCCAATTTTATTCATTATTTTATGACTATAAATTCCAAACGAAAATCTAACAAAACTCATGGCAACTTTCAACAAAAATGGCCTTGAAGAAAGACAGTTGAAGAAAAGAGATAAAGCTTCAAGCTTCAGCTTAAAATTCATTTCCTCTCTAATGAGAAATTTTTTTTGTAGAAAGCATGGCAACCTCAAAGTAGACTAAGGAATATGGTGAATCTTTTGATAAAAGACAAAGTACTAACTAAAACTTTATGTGAGATTTTAGTATGTTTGTTAGGCATTTTTTCATTCTTCTTAATTTTTTTGAAGATGAATAAGCTAGTTGGTCAACCAGGGTGCCACTTATAAAGATCTTCATTTAAATAGACTGTATTTAGGTTCAATGTGAATCTCTTGAAGAAAAATGGGGATATCGCGCTCCACTTCAATCCCCGTTTTGACGAAAAGGTAAAGTACCCACTTCTACCAGATTACTATTTTCTCTAATCTCGATTAATCGCATTTTTAGGCAAAAGGTTTCATCTGCGGCAAAATCAAGCCGGGCGTACGTTTTATCAAGTATTTTTGTGTTGGCGTGTGATCGTTCTTTGTGTTTTCGCTAACTCACTCGCTGCTCGTGCGCTTTTTGGCTGCAAACCGTGCGCACATCGCGCGCGCGATTATTCCAGCAGAACAGCGAAAATGTGACTGACACATCCAGAATGTCCCCAGAGGGGCAAAGCTTACGTTGTGACACATTGACATCGCGATGTGTTGTTCGTCGAACTGGTGTTCTCGGGAGATAAGAGCTCACTGACCACGCGATTTTGCAGAATGACTTTTGCGACCCTTGCGACCCTTGTTGTACTAACGAGGTTAGCGCCATCTAAGTGATCCTTGGTTCAGTCTTGACTAATTGAGAGTCATAGAGTGTTGTTTGAGTTCTCCCGTGTCCATGTCCGAGACGAGTAGCGTCTAGTTAACCCTAGTCGGTTCTGTTCTCGTGTGGCGTCCGTTCTCGTCATTTCAGCAGCTCTTGGGGGCTCTGAAATGCTGCCCGACCATTTGTCAAGCTCACCTTTTTGCAGTGCGTGATCAGGAACTCACTCGTGAATGGCGAATGGGGCAATGAGGAGCGCGAGGGCAAGAACCCCTTCGAGAAAGGCGTCGGCTTCGACTTGGAAATTAAAAACGAGGAATTTGCATACCAGGTAAGAGCTATTTTTATTTCATCAGGAAGTTTTCAAGCTTTATTGAAGAACTCTCGTACGATGCAGCTCATTTTACCAGAAGAAACAAAAATAATAACACAAATCATTATTTATTTATTGTTTATAAAAACAAAATATTTTTTGGGGTACCGCATGATTCTGCAAGAGATCATAATTGCTTTGAAAATTCCCGCCCACTTGTCAAGAGAATATTGCAACATATTCATTTTTTAATCATTGAGTTACGGTAAAAAAAATCACCCTCAATTTCCCTATCCTCTTACTACACTTTTAGTGTTACCCCATACACAATGATGTACCAGTATAAAGCTCGAAATATTGGTTTGAACTTCTACACGGGAACATTTTCAGAAACTCATCCGGTACGATAAAAATTAGTTTTACTTTTGAAATTCAGAAGGCTGATCCTATGCTGGACATGGTATGTCAAGAAATTTTGTGAAGTTACGATTGTGTTCTTTGCATATGATCCAATTTTTTCTGAATTTTTCTTGCTTTTCACCAAATGATCAGAAGCACCTATATGAGAAACAACTTATTCTCACACTCAAAATATCAAGGAGTTGCCAACTCCGTGAGAATCTTTCTTTAAAATGGCTATCAACCACTTTGGCTCAAAGTGATTTCTTTGTAAGTATATGAGATGTTTGAATTAAATTAATGTAATTTCGAACATAATAAATGTGTAAATAGCTATATTGAACTTGTACAATCTATAACCAATCTTGGTCTTTTGAAAGTTGAAAAATCTTGCAAAGAATTCTTCATACTATAGCATCATCATTATGAATTTTTATACGAGTTTGTCAACAAATTGCATTCAAAACCTGAATTTTTTTAATACCTTTTTTTTACATCTTTCATCTCATTAAGCAACAATGGATTTTACGGCGATGCCCGAAAATGTCCAATCACGCTTCAGAGAATTTGAGTGTTCATTCGTTTAGAAAAAATAGAATAATCTTATCAAATTAAAAACGATTTGTATCTCTCCATGATATTATACAAAATATAATCTTGCCATTTTGCAGATATTCGTGAATGGTGAACGGTTTGCCTCGTATGCACACCGCATCGACCCGCACGAAATCGGTGGTCTCCAGATTCAAGGCGATGTCGAACTGTCTGGCATTCAAATCGTCGGCCAGTGACCTCTTCTATGCTGTTGATTATGTCCAGAATGTTCTCTCAAATGTTTCCGCTGTTCACTATCAAACATCGCCCGTCCCACCTTCCCCCCCCCCCCCCGCCTTCCCCGTTTGTCGCGCATTTTTGCGCCTTTCCCGTGCATTGTACATTATCTGCGCATAGTCTGTCTCTGTCTTTTGCACAGCTTCCAGTTCCAGTTCAGCTAGGCATATCTCTCTCGAGCAGCTCTCGTTCTTACTCTCTCGTACTCGCATAGCCACTCCACTGCCATCTCCGTCGATCCGAGAAGTTCCCTAGCTAAAATAATGAAGAGCGCACCTACAACGAACCTCTTTCCTCACGTCTCTAGTCCTCTGGCCCCAACGTTCCACCCCAAACACACAAAGAGTCGTCGAGTGCTGATCGTCATCCTCCCTTTCATACTTATTTTATATGTACATGTCATCATTCTCGCCACAATTATTCGCGCCTACACATATATTCCTTTCTGTGCCTAATTCCATGCACCAGTTTCTCTCTTTGTATATCCATTTTTTCCGTCATCAAAATAAAGCTTCACCATCTCTTTATTTTCATAAAATCTAGTGTTATGTTGCAAGGCAAATGCGCAGCTTCAATCCCAATCGAGTTTCACAATGTTACACCATTACGGGGGTGGTGTACGCCAAACGAGAACGGAAGTAAGTAAGCTGATACTGACTGCTTTGATTTTCTCCATAGGGAATTCCGAAGAACGAAGAGCTTTGCAGGGAAAAAGAAAAGAAAAAGAAAGGAAGTGATGGAGTGCCAACTTTGATTTCGATATAATCGACAGAGACAATCGGCAGACTCTAAGAAAAGGAAATTTTTGGAAATTTTGAGAACACCAAAAATTTTTCGGCAAGATGGAAGCTTGTGAATAGCTTCTCTACATTAACGAAATTAAACCCCTATGTTCTTCTTACCTGTTTGTTTTGCGGCTTTGGCCTTAGGACCACGCTTCAAAAATTTCCTCTGTAAGGTAAGTTTATAATGGGACAAGTTGCTACTGCCAACTTCGGTAGATCAAATTTTTTTTGCAAAACTTGGGATCTCAAGAAAAACTCTAATTGTGTCATTATATATCTAAACTGGTGACATCATTCAGTGCGATGCAGGTACACTGAAATACGAAAAGGAAAGAGCTGAAAGACAGTATTGCATTGATCTAATAATTTAAAATTGCATTTTGCAGAAAAAAATTCTGCAAGGCTTGGTTTCTCTACACAATTTTTCAAATTTCTCAGTGATGTTTAAGGTACTTACTTTTGTGAACATATACCATAGAATTCACAATTCACATACAACAAATGGCATGACCTGACTTTTTGAAGAATTTTTTAAAATCTTCCTACAACCCTCTCTTTTGCAGTGTGAATATGTTGTTAAGATGTTGAAGATAACGAACTTACTATAGCAGAATTGTGAGGCATTTCCATTCCACAGTCTTTTTATTTTCCAGGAAATGCAGCTATCGCAGCACTTCCCAAATCAGTTATTGGTGATAATGTTGCTTTTTTGGCTGTTTTCCTTGTTAAAATTCTGACGAAAAAATTTCTTGTATGCATCCTGTTTGAGATGCTACGGTCATACATTGGAAATTTCGCATAATGCCAGCAGTTACATAAAAGATTGATCTTTGGAAGTGCATAGATAATGAGCTAAGCTCGTTATTGGAATGCTTTTATAGGGTATTAGATTTGTTTCTTTCCGGTCGAATGTCTTTGTCAACTTATCTCCGGATATAGCTAATGAATTTTGAAACCTCCAAGTACTGTCTTGACATTTTCCTGCAAAGTTTGGAAGCCGATTACTTCTCGATGGGAATTCTATTGCGTGCTTGGCATGAATTCCTGAAGATGTCAAAGGACATTGCAAGGCCATCCCTCGCAATCTTTCCATATTGGGACTCAGCGTATGTAGTAGGACATTTCAAAGCGTTTATGTGTCTTGCACTTTTGTTGATGACATTTCGGAGTATTTTTGGATCATTGTACTACAAATTTAGACTGCTGTTGAAGCACTCAGTGGAGACAGAGACGGGGAGGGAGCGAAGATTGATAGCCTACCGTGATATTGTAGTATGATAACATATATTTATGTCATTCTCTGCTTGTGATACTTTCATTAACTTCTTAGAAAAGTAAATGCCTTCAAGGGGAAACTGTGGGAAGCTGGGAGTCACCGGGGGAGGGGGGGGGATACAAGAAATGGAGAGCGCAGTTTCCTGGCAAAGGTTTTGTAGTAATGGAAATCTTCTTTCTGACAAGGATAATTAGAAGTAGTATGGCCAATTTAACAAGTTGCTATCGATAGGCCGCGCGAAGCGTTAAATCTAAACCTAAATTTTTTATTTGCTGACCGACTCTAAAGACGAAATTATAAACATCCATTCCTGGGGATGAGCTAGAAAGTTTAGAAGTTTAGATCGATGGATATTGTGTTTTCCATCAAACAGTAATGTAGCACGTATATGATTACAAGGAAGACACAAAACTTTACAACAGTTTTTGTATCTGTTTTTGATTCCATCTGGTTTTGGGGCTAACAACTATACGGGTAGAGCAATTTCCTTGGTGCCCAGTTGTCATCAGTTGTTCCCAAGAACTTCTCCAATTTTAGGATGAGAAACCCTACAGAATTTGAGCGGAACGGCAAGAGAGTATATAAACAATTGAGTTAAACTGGCAAATTGAAAGTAAAGTCAAACACAAACGAGTAACACGGCAATTAAATACAACCTCGGATTCGAATGAGTGTTATCCCGCCGTGACCCCAGGCACGTTAGCTGCATCGTATGTATCGCGCTGATATAAAAGGGGCAAAATGTATAGGTGTAGCAAATCCTATTTATGCATCTAAATATCTATCGAGAAATATTTGGTGAAGTCTATTTATAGACATGAGATACTCCCATCCTTATTCTTAGACGTCATAGCTAGTTCTTTTATTCTTTCTTTAAAATGTACGCAATCTGAGCAATTCTTATATATTCTAACATAAGATGTAGCACAAGTGTTGATTAATTCATATTTTGGTATATTGGATCCCCATATAGATAATGAGCTTGAAACTGCACGTATCTTTTTTGTTGTACAAGCCGAATTTGATCTTGCTTTCGCAGACTATCTGTGTTCAAGTCAAGGAGATTTTTTTCGATTAGACTAACGTTAACTTTATCCGCTAAGGTAGAAGGATATCTCTTTTAAACTCCTTCAAACTCTGATGCATCGTCGGAGACGTGTGATATGTTATCTATGTATCTTATGTAAAATTATGAGGTAATGTCATACTTTTCTTGTCAGCCTCTCTATGAGTTCGTATTCCATACAAGCTGATGTAAGATCAATGAATGTCGTAGCAGATGGATAGTGCTGCACACGCAGAAGCCAGATAACAACTCTATGCGATCAGGACCCTGCACGGAAGTCTTGTGGCGGCTGGACTTCGTTTTTGGGATAAGAAGCAAAGGGGTTAGTAAAACATGATGTGCAGGCATGCAGTATTAGCGGCTGTAGACTCTTCGAGTGGTTTTGCCTCTACATGCAATGTAATAAAATAGACAACAAGAATGGTGGTTTAGTGGTTTATTGGGATTACTGTAACCGAGAGCGTGAGATTGTGACCTTGGGTGGTCAATGTGTCGAGAGTGAGGTGAGATCTCCCAGGTGGACGCATGGCAGACATGGCCCGCCCACTCGGCTTTGACGTCATATGGCAAGGGTATCAGGAATCATCGATCGGTCGATGATTCCTGATAGACCAACACATCCAGAAACAAGTTACTACACGATTCACTGTTCCATTGTGATCTTTCACAAGCGCGCAATTGGAATGCACGGCTGAAGCAAATAAGCGTCTTGTTCACAGCGCAGAAACAATCATATGACACCAAGCTTGTAACTCTAAGATGAACTTCTTCCCCGGCCCAAAGTTTATCTTTGAGAAAGGAGAGAGATTCATATAGTTGCCCCTGTTATTTTTGTTCAATTTGTTCATGAAACCACTTTGTTTGATATCGCGCCCCAATGCCAATCTGTCGAAACGGTTCTGCTTGCTATTTTTCATTTCTAATCAATTCTACGGTACAGTAAAAAGATCGATTTTCCGGAATGGGTTTAGCCGGACTTCATAAGGTCTAAGCAACAGAGGACGTAGTTTTAAAAAACCTCAAAAAGGGATCGTGCCTTGCCCTGTATGTGTATGCGACCTCAGAAATCCCAAATTCTGACGTATTAACGTAATCGCAATTCTAACTTCTTGACTAACTCTGCCGTAACTTCGCTGAAGAGATCATCCTGCCATATGGAATGATTGTATATTGAGAACATGTCACATCACCCCTGAGAATTATATAATTGAAATATTTCCTCAGCAAGAGTACGAAATATTAAATATGAGCATCGTGAGGAACCCATTCGCGATCCCGGTTCCTGGAGAATCTTTGTTTTCACGTGGCATATGCTTCTATCAAAAGCATGCTTAGCGATATTCCATTGTATGATTAGCACACCCTTGTGGTGTTCTTGATATTTCGAAAATACGACTTTAAGGAGTCAGCAGAGTCACAAGGGCCTTTGAAAAATTGGAAAACGCGGACTTATGACAATAAGCTCTAATTTTCAAGCACAAAGAAAGTCCATTCGGATTTGCAACTGCTGTGATTATAATTGAACTGTGCTCTTTTGACAGCAAATCTAATGAACCGCAGATACCTAGCCGCGATCAGGATTTTCAGCGCTGTAATTGTTTTAAAGAAAGACTTGGTTTCAACCGCATGTGGCAAAAACATCACTCTTTCGTTTTCTGATCCTTGCTTAGAAGTAAATATATTTCTGGAACAACAATTTTGTGGATAGTTGTGTCGCAGCATTAATTTCGCCGTCACAATATGGGATTTCCAAATTCTTCCACAACTACGTATTCCAAGATGGCTATGGATTCAAGATGTCCAAGAGGTGCATCCACTGGCATAAAAGTGAAGTGATTTACATTGCCGTAGTCTACCTCAGATAACGTTTAGGAACTATTAACAGATGTCTCCGTAGACTTTATAATGCTCCTTTCTTTGATCCATGCTCACTCTCTTCAAAACTTTACGGCTCTAATGAACGCTCGATACTGCGCAATCGCAGGGAAAGACGTATCTAATCGTAAGAGTCCCGTCATACTTCGCCAAAAAGTTCGACAAATTGGCAGAACTCCCTCTTCTTGCGTAACTTTTAGCGTTAGAGCGTAACTGTTCGTTAAACATTGACATGAACATTTTGATATACCAAATCGTTCAGTTGATATTGCGAAAGCTGGGGTGATTATGCAGCGAGATGCGGACCGACACTGAGCGCGGTTGAAACATAACAATGCTGCATAAATGTAGCCGTCCCTGTAGACTCCAGCGAAGAAAATTTGTGCTTAGGAGAGCTTTTTGGCATTTTTGAGCGCTTTCTGGCGAAGCCTGACGGGACCATGAGGTGATTTTTGAAGGAGAGTTATCTGGAGCTATTGTAGATTCGTCAGTATTTGTCAGCAAGAATAAGGTACTTTTGCATG